ATGTGGCTAGTGAGACTGAGGAATTCAATTGTTTTATTTGTACTTAATTAATTTAATATAAGAACTGAAACTTTATTCAGTAGTTGGAAAACTTTTAACTTGTTTGGAACAAGTTGGGAATGTAAACATACTTTTTCAACTGTAAATTGTGAAACTTAAATACAGATCAAGTATTTCAGATGATAACTTATCATCTGAATTGAGGTGTGCTGTCAGTATGAAATGCGCACAGAATTTTGAAGATTTGGTTAGAAGAAAAGAATGTAAAATATATTAATAATTTGAATATATTGGGTTTCAGAATATTAAAATTAATTTCACCTTTTAAAAATGTGGCTGCTAGAATATTTAATATTGTATATGTGGCTTTCACTAAGTTTCTATCTCTAGTGGACAGTGCTGCTTTACAGAATGGTTTCCTTATACTCTCATCAAGGACATTGTTTAAAATTTTTTTTCTCATCCCAGTGTATTCATGGTATTAAAAAATGGAAAATACAAAAAAGCGCAAAGAAAATAATTTAAATCACCCATAATCTCAAAACTCAAGATAAAAGCACTGATGTCTACATCCTTCCAAACTTTTTTGAAAGCATATAAATACATGTATGTGTGTGTTTATTTATTTAGTTACAAAATAAGAATTATACTGTTAGTCTAAATATTGTTTGAGAACTGTGTGATTTTCCCCCTGTGTTTGTACCATAATTTATTTAACCCTCAATTGTGAGATATTTAGATTGTGTTTCTAGTTTTTCAGTTTCAAAAAGTTGCAATTCATTGTCATAGGTATATTTTTGGACAGAGGATTATTTTCCCAGAAGTGTTATTGCTGGGACACCATATGCCAGATTGCTCTCTGGATACATTCATAGGCTTCTATAGTCGATCTCAGAAACAAAGGACCAGTGCTAGAGATTTAGATTTTATAAACCAATAATTTTTTTCAAATGTCATAAAGCCCAAGCATCTGACTCTTGGGAGAGCAGTTCTAGGCTTTCTGTTAGAGTCTTTTGTACTTTTTAAAAATTGTTATTGTTAAATCAGAATGAATATTTATTAATATTCATGTGATAAAGGAATATATTTTTATTAGATATTTTATTAGACAGTACAGATAAAGGGAGAGTTAGCTTTGGTCTCCTCAACCCTACTCCCCTTCTCAAGGATCATCATAATTTTAGGAGATAGGTATACTTTTAATCCTTTCTTCTATGCATGTATGTATGTATATATTTACATATAGAAAATGATACATAATCATACATTCTCTAGATCTTTCCATGTTAATGTATAAACTGTTGCATAATAAATATATCATTCTAGGGCTTCCCTGGTGGCGCAGTGGTTGAGAGTCCACCTGCCGATGCAGGGGACACGGGTTCTTGCCCCGGTCTGGGAAGATCCCACATGCCGTGGAGCGGCTGGGCCCGTGAGCCATGGCCGCTGAGCCTGCGCGTCCGGAGCCTGTGCTCCGCAGAAGGAGAGGCAAAAACAGTGAGAGGCCTGCGAAAAAAAAAAAAAAAAAAAAAAAAAAAAATATATATATATATATATATATATATATCATTCTATGGCTGTACCATAGTTTAATAGTTTTCCTATTAATAGGCATTAGGCTGTTTCTTGTGTTTTGCTTTTATGAAGGGTGTTGCAGTAAACCTCATATGTTCCTCTTTGAATACGTACTCAAATTTCAAGTTTTTCCTTAAGGTTAGTTATCTAGAAATAGAATTGTCTGGTTAAAGAGTCTTTGCATTTAAAGTATTATGATCAATAAATTGAGATAATTTGTGGACAACGTGGTATTGCATACTTTTCATTTTGTCAGGAAGGAGCCTAAAGAAATACCATATATTGTCACTGTCGTTTCATAAAAGGACATTTTAACACCTGAAAATATTTAGTTTCATGAAAATCTCATTGTTGTCATTATTTTTCTCATTTTAGCATAGACTATTGAAAATTTTCAAACAGACCAGCTTGAGTTGGGGTGGAAACTTGAAAATTACTGTTGTAATTTATTCTTTTGCATCCAAACAGGTCAATCCAAAGGAGTTACTCTTGCATTTTTTGAAATATCCTTAGTAGTGAACCATTCTCATGGTTGAGAAGTTAGATCCTAAGTACTTTCTTCATGCTGGTCTTTGTGAATATCATAAGTAGGAACCATATGTTATTTTGTGAGTCCACCACAGGAGTGTACATTGGGTCTCAATACTAGATCAGCCAGACTTGGGCAGTACTGAGTACAGAGCTGAAAGCTCAGGTTCTGGGGCCAGAGAGTTTGTGTTTGGATTCATACTCTCCTTTTGACTTCATAGGCATGCTTTTTAACCTGTCCAAACCCCATTTTCCTCAACTATAAATGGTGATAGTAATAGTACATATCTCACAAGTACTTGCAAGGATTAAATGTATTGACGCATGTAAGATACTCAGCGTAGTTTCTAACTCTTGGAAAGTGTTCAGTAAATGTTGGCTGTGATCATAACATGATCATTGGTGTATTTAGCTGTTCCACCAATATTTATTGACTGCTTCTATGTCAAACACTGTGCTTTGTGCTTAAATTAGGAAGACTGAACAGTCTCTGTCCTTTAGGGAGCTGGAGTATAAATTGGAGAGTTTGACACTTAAACAACTAGCTGTAATGGCTCTTAAAGTGTACTGGGGACAAGTCATCAATCTTAAAGTGTCCCTTGAAGGTTTGCAAAAGAGCGGAAGAGGGCATGGCAACAAGAAAAACAGTAGAAGCAAGGAAAATGCCCCTAAATTATGGATTACTGTAGACTGGTGCAGATGGAGTTTGAAGAGCAAGGATGGATGGGAGATTAGATTGGATGAAGCACGTTTATAAGTGTACAATGAGTATAATTATTGTGTTTGAATATCAGCAGCCCTTTGTCTATAGAAGAAGTCAAGAAGACCAGAGCTGCAATTTAGGATTTAGGTGGAAGTCTGGAGAAGATATGGGAGATAGAATGTTGAATTCTAGTATTACTTAAAAAGTTGGTCAGGGACTTCCCTGGTGGTGCAGTGGTTAAGACTCTGTGCTCCCAATGCAGGGGACCTGGGTTCAATCCCTGGTCAGGGAACTAGATCCCACATGCATGCTGCAACTAAGGGTTCGCATGCCACAACTGAGGAGCCCTCGAGCCACAACTAAAGAGCCCTCCTGCCACAACTAAGACCCACAACCAAATAAATAAATAAATATTAAAAAAAAAAAAAGTTGGTCAGAGGTGATCTCCAGTGTCCTTGCGAATTCTTTGAGTTATCTGAATGTTAATTTCTAGCATTGGTACATGAGATAAGGTCCTTCTCAAAGGAATACTTTCCTTAGGGCAGTTCTCATTGCTGTCTTAAAGGATTTATGGTATTCTCTTGGATTCTAGCAGAATGGGAGGTGAGATGACCTGTGAGATTAAAAGGGTCAAATGGTTTACAGAATCTTCCCCTGTCAAAGTTGTTCACAGCCTAAAAATGTCTGAAATCGGGTGTGGTCAAAACTTCTGACACTTCAAATCAGCTTTGAGAATGTGTGTTTCTCAGAAGGTAGTAGATCCCCCAAGACTAGGCCAGGATGTTTTACCTAGGAGACAAATTTTATATTGGGCTATAGGATTCATGAAACCGTTGCCTGTTTCAGACGCTGACCGGAAAGGAGATTGAGATTGACATTGAACCCACAGACAAGGTAATGTACGCCCAGTACCTCTCCATGCCTGTCTCCCTACATGTACACTTGCTTGGGTATGCTGATGAACTGAGTCCTTCCGCTCTCATACTCTCTGCATAGCTCTTGTTCTTTCCCATTCCATGGTCCTTCCCCCTGAGCAACCCCTGACTACTTGTACCCCTAAAGGTGGAGCGAATCAAGGAGCGTGTGGAGGAGAAAGAGGGAATCCCCCCACAGCAGCAGCGGCTCATCTACAGTGGTAAACAGATGTAAGTTTGGAATGGGAATGAGGGCGTGGCCATCTTATGTGAAGATGAAGATGCAAGTACTGGAGGTGGAGCAGGCCTGCCTTTTTTTTGTTGTCTCAGGCCCTTTGGCAATTTGATGAAGGCTATGAACCACTTCTCAGAATTAGATTTTTGCAGACATAAAATAAAATGCATGGAATTACAAAAGAAACTAATAGGATCGAAATACACTTATCACACTACTAAAAAAGCAAGTTTGTAATATATGTACTTCATTAAGATCTAATGATGGATATAATAACTAATTTTAAAAGATTTTCAAGATACCTACGAACAGTTGTGAAATGATAGGAAAATATCTAATTTTTGTTGTTAACAGGTTACCCATATTGTTAATGATACCCCTGTGGGTTTTTTGCCTGTGTTCAAAACTGAAAGAAATATCAGATTTCAGTTAGGGGTTAGTAAAAATATAAAGATGTAATTTTTTTCTCATCTGCATTCATAGATCCCCAGGCAGATCCGTGAAACCCAGGTTAAGAACCTTGCTCTGGACGGTATTTACTTCTAATACCTTTTTTCTTTTTTCTGCCCCTTCCTGCAGGAACGATGAGAAAACAGCAGCGGATTACAAGATACTAGGTGGTTCAGTCCTCCACCTGGTACTGGCTCTGAGAGGAGGAGGTGGTCCTAGGCAGTGATGGACCCCCCCCTCCATTGCACCTCCTTGCCCTGTTGCTCATTATGAGGAATCATGTATCCTCTCACACTGTGGGACACCAGGGCCACTGCCCCCTCTCCTGGATGCCCAGTCTTGTGTGTCTGTTGGTGGGAGACTGTGAGGACCCCAGGATGCAGTGTTCCTGGCCCAAAGGGCCCTTGCTGGCTATTGGGTTTTAGTTTGCAGTCCTGTGTGCTTCCCTCTGTTAATGGCTACGTCCCTGGTTGTCAATAAAATACTTCCTGGCCTCCTGGAATCTTTCTTCTGTTGCACAAACGTGACTGAAATCAAAATGGGCCAATGCACACTCAGTTATACCAGGCTGAAGGAGTAGGACAGTGTAAGAGAATGTGCCCTTAGAGGGGTTCTCAGACTCTTAAGAGTCTACACTCAGTGGTGTGCTGGAGCCAGCTCTTATCCCGCTCCAGAGCTAATTGTTGGCATCTTTCCTAACCCCATATTAAGTGACTTCGTGTTGGTAGCTTGAAATTGGCCATGGTAGGAATATTTACAGAAATTGACAAACAATACAAATCAGTCCTTCTCCCCAAACTGGTTGTTACATATCTGTCAGCATACTACTGAAGTGGGTGGTAGAAACCAGGAGAGTGAATTCTCCCCCATTGTGACTCTACTGGACATTTGGGGCCTGTTTCAAGAAAGGCATCAAGAGCTTAGCAGACACTGCATTCTTTTATGGCTGGAATATTGCTGAGGGCTCTAGGCTGTATACGGTGGAGTGGCTGATGTGGAGAAAGGATGAGTGTCGAGTGACAAGCTATGATGGATCACTTTAGGGCTCAGTTGGTGAGATAAAATGAGAGACGGGTGCCAGAAGAAAGGGTTTCCCTTCCTTGTCTCCTCTAGCTCAGTAGAAGCTGGCGAGGCCGGGTGGGGTGGAGAAGCAAGGGAAGAATATCCCTTGGAGAGGCTTGGCATTGGCACTTTGCTGCGGTCCTCCCCACCACCACCACCAGAAGGCGCTCTTGTGAGGTTTTGGGGCCGATCTTCCCAGCTCAGGTTGGCGACGCTCTAGTCGCCGTTACTCTAAGGCCCGCGGGGCGGCCTGGGAGCCGCGGCAGAAAGGCCCTCCTCCGTACGCGCAGCCCGCTGGCGCGGTTCATGGCGCGGCTCCCGAAGCTCGTAGTCTTCGATCTAGGTGAGGGGCTGGATTGGGAAGAGTTTCGTAGGGCACAGGTTTTTCCAAACCTCAGTTGATGCTCTCGAGGCCCTGCGCCTGCCCAGGCTGAGACCTCCCCCTCCTTCCTCTCACAGATTACACGCTGTGGCCGTTCTGGGTGGACACGCACGTAGACCCCCCGTTCCACAAAAGCAGGTGAGGCGGGGCTGGGGGGGCCTGGGGCCAGGCGGGGCCCCGCGGGAGCTGAGCACACTCTCGCCCTCCCCAGTGATGGAACTGTACGAGATAGGCGGGGCCAGGCCGTCCGACTGTACCCAGAGGTGCCTGAGGTCCTGGAAAGATTGCAGGGCTTGGGGGTGCCCGTCGCGGCCGCTTCACGGTAAGAAGAGCGACTGAGTCTGTCTAATGCTGAGAGGTGCATGCATGAGGAGACTTCCCGTGTAACCCCTTGGCTGCAAAAATTTAGGCGGTGCAAACTTGCAGGTATTTGTATATTTTTCGAATTGTACCTTCTGTGCATTTTGTTTAATAAACATTGGCTCAGTGCCACCTGTGTCAGGAGGGATATGGAATTGAATCAGGGTGGAGGATGCCTACCCATCCAGGAAGAACAGCAAGTTGATTTCCCCCTGGTTACACATAATTTCACTTGCAGCCTTGGCCCTCCACTCTCCTGATCCCATCTACTACACCTTTTTGCAGGACAGGTGAGGTTGAAGGGGCCAACCAGCTACTGGAGCTCTTTGACCTTGTCAGATACTTTGTTCATCGGGAGATCTATCCAGGCAGCAAGGTCACGCACTTTAAGAGGTACGCTGAGATAAGGGGAGAAGCAGGGAGACAGAAGACCAGAGAGGCTGGAGGAGCTAAGAAGCCAGAGTGGTTACCCTCGCCGTGTCTTGCACAGGCTGCATCAGAAGACTGGAGTTCCTTTCTCCCAGATGATCTTCTTTGATGATGAAAAGCGGAATATTGTAGATGTCAGCAAACTGGGTACTGACTGAATGGCAAGGATAGCCATTTGGGGAGTGACGAGAAAGGGTTCCTAAGAGGGAAGGGGTTAGGTAGATATGTACAGGATGGATAGTTTGCATGCAGGTGACACCCCAAAAAGGTGAGAGTCATAATAGGGAGCCCTGAAGGCCTGATGAAATTGTGGCTTCTTTCTTTCTAGGTGTTACCAGCATTCATGTCCAGAATGGAATGAGCCTTCAGACCCTAACTCAAGGATTAGAGACATTTGCAAAGGCACAAGCTGGACTCTGAGGTCCAGTCCTGTGGATGAGCCTCATTTGAGGCATAGAACTGAAAGGAAATCAGGAGGGCATTTTCAGGTGCATTTGTAAATTATTAAAGTGTATTTGTGTGTGGCAGAAGAGATATTACCCAGTGTGTGTTGTTTCTAATTTTCTAGCGTGTGACCGGGGTGGGCCATCCGGAGGTGCCAAGACCAGTATGTGAGGCATTAGACTGCATCAGGTTCTGCCTTATAAACTTGTGGCAAACCCAAGACTGTGATTCCCTTGTGCTCTCCCCATCCCCACACCTCTCCTGAGCTCTGTCAAGGACATGAAGAACTCTTCCACTGGCCCCAAGTAGTGGGGTGCATTACCCTGCACATTTCCTTCCAGGAAGCAAAGACTTTGTTTTGGGTTGGGGAGGGTGAGGCGACCTTTTTATATAGTGGGAAACGAAGCGGCCGCTTTAAGAGGAGCGCGTGGGTTTGGGGCTGGTGTGTCGGGTCGCACGTGATAGTGGTCTCGCTGGCGCTTGTTGATGATGTCGCCGCGGTGCCCCAAGGAGGGATTGGCCGAGGCTGGTCTCGGAGTGATGAGCCCAGCACCTCCCGGGAGCAAGGCGGAAGCGTACGGGACGCCGTAGGGCGGAGGCGGGAGAGGCTAGGGTCGCGATGAGTGGGCTCGGCCGGCTCTTCGGGAGGGGTGAGCCCGGCCGAGACTGGTCCCTGGGAGGTGCTGGCCGCAGGGGGCGGGGGGAGAGCCGGGAGACGCTGTCCTGAAAACCCTGGTGGTCCAGCAAGGCCTTCTCCCGGGCCAGGAGGCGCCGCCTTGTCAGGGCGCCTGGCTCCAGCTGCCTTCCTTCCTTCCCTTGGAGGGAAGAGCTCGAGGCCCGGGAGGGGGTGCGAGTGGTGAGCGTGGCAGCTGCACTGGCTCCCGCTGTTAAGGCCTGGGGGACAAGTTGCTGCCTGTCGGCATTCAGTCCTTTCCAAAACACTGGTGCTTCCTTTATGCTGGGCCAGAGGCAATCTGAGGTGACCCAAGAAAGGTACCCCTCGTGAGCTCCTCTGTGGTGCGGGAAGACAAGCAAAGTCTGGCATTTACAGCGTAGTGTGGCGACTCCGTGATGGAGATTTACCTAAAAGCCAGGGGTGCGCGGAAGAAGCAGGCACGGCGGGTGGTGATCCAGAAGGCTAGGAGTATGCCAGATGGGGGGTTGAGGTTCTCCAGAAAGAGGTAACTGTGCAAAACAGAGGCAGGAAAAAGTATGGTATATTTAGGGAAAAGGAGTTCTGGCTGCCCCGTGAGTGTGTGTGTGCGCGCGCACGCGCTGAAGGAAGAGGAAAGTGTGGATGGAGAGGTAAACGGGGGCCAGATCATGAAGGACCCTGTGTGTCTTAAAGTTTTTTGGATTTTATCCTGTAGGCAGTGGAGAGAATGGAAGGATATTAAGCAGGCTAGGGCCTTCAGATTTTTTTTTTTTAATAAGTCTGTTAGAAGTGCAGAAGATGAAGGGAGAAATTGAGATCAGATTTTTTTTTTTCTCTAGCCTCCCTACTTCATTCAGTTCGATCCTGTGGAATCAGGACCTTGAGTATCTCCTAGGATAGCAAGTGGAACAGTAATTATAAAAAGTGATTGAACTCTGATGGGGAACACGGTAATGAGGAGGTTATGCATGTATGAGTGCAGGTGGTATATGGGAAGTCTTTGTACCTTCCACTCACTCAGTTTGCTGTGAACCCAAAACTGCTCTAAAAAAATAAATTCTATTAAAAAAAAACAACTGGAAATGACTTGAAAGGTAACTAGGAATAGCAAAAGAATATTGGCTTTGGAAATCATACTGTCACATTTCAATTCCTTTGCAGTCTCTTACTATAGTAATTGTGATTTTAGACCAAAATGTTAACCTCTTTATGCCTGTTTTCACATTCATAGAGATAGTACATTCATCGTAGAAAGTTGTTTGGGGATTAACAATAACACGGTCAAGTGCCTAGCACATACTATGCACTCAATAATCGGTGACTAATATTTTTCCTTTACACAATGTGGGCTGCTCCATTGGACTCCAGACAAGAAGGAGAGGGGGCCAACCCCTGAAGAGGCAATACAGAAACTGAAGGAGACGGAGAAGATATTGATCAAGAAACAGGAATTTCTGGAGCAGAAGATTGAACAGGAGCTACAAACTGCCAAGAAGCATGGGACGAAGAATAAGAGAGGTAATGGGGGAGGGACAGGCACCACCAGGGAGGGCCCGGAGGGGGGAGCAAGGGCTTCTGGCTCTGATGTTCAGAGTGTGGGCTGGATCAGCCGCCCTACAGGCTTTGCGGAGGAAGAAAAGGTTGGAACAGCAGCTGGCACAAACGGACGGGACATTATCCACCCTGGAGTTTCAGCGTGAGGCCATTGAGAATGCCACCACCAATGCAGAAGTGCTTCGTACCATGGAGCTTGCTGCCCAAGGCATGAAGAAGGCCTACCAGGACATGTGGGTACGGGGGGATGGGAGGAGGGGGCCCAGGCACTGGGGAGAGTAGCTTGATATTATACTGTGAATCTTAAAACCTCTCCAGATATGAATTTACAGTAGAGTTGCCTGTGATGGCTAGACCCCTATCAGCCTCCTTGCTTATTGCAAGGTGATCTCTTTGCTGGCTGGGGCATTCTAGGGAGGAAAGATGATTTTCCTCTTTTTTTTTTTTTTTTTTTTTGTGGTCTTTTGGCTGTACTGCAAGGCTTGTGGGATCTTAGTTCCTGGACCAGGGATTGAACCCCGGGCCCTCCACAGTGAAAACACCCAGTCCTAACCACTGGACTGCCAGGGAATTCCCAATTTTCCTAATTTTTAAAGATCCTTCAGAGAAGAGAGTGCAACCATTCCTCCCCAGTGTGTCTTCGTGCCATTTCTTAGCCCAGATTTGCCTCTTTACACTTTTCCAGGGATCTCTTTTACCTAGTAGCCATGGATTTGTCAGTCTGAAGCCACAGGCAGGAGGGTCTTCATTCATGTGAGATGAAAAAGTCAGGGTTGTCACCTGATTTCTGGGCCATGTATCTTGTTCTCAGGGACATTGACAAGGTGGATGAACTGATGGCTGACATCACAGAACAACAGGAGCTGGCCCAGCAGATCTCAGATGCCATTTCTCGACCCGTGGGATTTGGAGATGATGTGGATGAGGTGATTGGGAGTGAGGGGTCAAGGAATATTGGAGAAGGCGTGGGACCAGCCAGAAGGAATGCCCAAGAGAACTGTGGGACAGGTTTGGGGGAAAGTCCAAAAGTGGTATGTTTTTGGAAGTAGAATTTTCCTTTGTGTTGAGCGATCTTGTCATCCCATATCCAGGATGAACTGTTGGAGGAGCTAGAGGAGCTGGAGCAGGAGGAATTGGCCCGAGAATTGTTACATGTGGACGACAAGGAGGAGGAACCCCCAGTCACACTGCCCAGTGTACCGTCTACACATCTTCCTGCAGGGCCAGGTACCCAGGGCTGTTCTGTCATCTCAGGGACTTGAGAGGGTGGGATAGATATGGGGAAAAATTATTCCTCATCCATCCTGCCTGAAAGGATCCAGGCAGAGAGGGTTGCTGCTACAGTTGCACAGGTTGTTGACTGCATAAGGGCACCTGGCTGAAGGGGAATGAGGACAGAAATCAGGCCTGTGCTTCACTCAGCAAACTGTGTCCCCTGGTTTAGGGCTGCAAATGCCCGGAGAAAGAGGCAGCTTCTTCTGATTTGCCCAAAGGTGCTGTGGGAATTAGCAGCAGCCCAGCAAGCAAGACCATACCCTTAGGTTCTTTGCTGGGAGAGAGCGTTCCGCAGGCTCTGAGTGTTATAGGAGGGGATGGTTGGAAGTTGCTGAGGCCTTAACACTTCTTTCTTTCTCTGGGTATCCTTATCCCCAAAGCTCCCAAAACGGATGAAGATGAAGAAGCACTAAAGCAATTGGCTGAGTGGGTGTCCTGATGAGTCTGGGCTTGCCTACCTGACGCTGCCTTCATTGTTCTCTTTTCCTTAAGTGCCAAGTGCTAAGCTAAAGGAACATGGCCTTGTTGGGAGGTCCTGCTGAGAGTGGTAGTATGACCCTGCCTGAGAAAAGGGTCCGTCGCCCTCCCATCCCAGGCTCAACCCTGAAGAAGGATTTTGGTGCAGGAGGAACCCCTGGGCTCCCTTTAATAGCAGTTACAGTGCCCTCGTTCGCAATAAAATTGGGTGGATGGAACCCTAGTGCTTATACTGCCTTGTCTACAACTGAAACTCGTCTCCTGGTCCTTGGATCTTTGTTTCAAGAAATGAGTAGTAATGAGAGTAATGAAGGGGAGTTGGAGCATAGGAGAAATGGGAGCTTCCATTATCTCAACCTACTATGATCCAGGCAGATACTGTTCCCTCTCTCAGGCTGGTGTGTCCTAGAGCTGCCTGGTGCTGAGGGTGAGGAAACTGCCATCTGTTATTTTCCCTAGAACCGTGTGGAGCTGTCCCTGAGCCTTCCCTCATTGCTTTCACCCAGTTGTGTCTCTGCCGAGAGAGCCTCGTGACTCACCAGCTGTCCCCTTACAAAGCCCACTTTCAAGGGTAGGAAAGGAGACGTACGGGGATAAGGGGTCAATAGGTTTCCTTTCTCTGGAACGCATAGATCATAGGCTTGGCTTGAACTGTCACTTCAACGTGTAGGAGCAATGATGAGGGACCATGATTCACCAGGATTGTTTCAGTAGTGGGTAAGGTGGCATTTGGAGGAGGAAGGAACCAAGATATTACATACCTCCTGATACCCATATCTAAAAGAACGAACAGTGCCGTCCCCTTGGACTGTAGACGGGCAGAGCTGTGACCAAACCGAGCAATCAGGGTAGAGCAACCTCTACCCCACTATTTGAACATTTAGAGTGCATGGAGATAGACAAAACTGAGCATGTACTCAGCCAGAATAATGAAGCTTCCCCAAAGCAGGTGTTCCTCTGAGCACGCCCAACCCACTCCCCTATGAGCCACATATGCGCTACACTGTAAATTATAATGTTGACTTAACCAGTGTCAAGATGACTGGTTACAAGCTCTGGGCAGAAACACACCTCTCACCCTCAGCAGTGTTCGCTGCTAAGGTTCCCCTGAGGGAAGACTGTGACTCTAGCTGATGGAACTAAAACAGAATTAGATTTATTTTTGGTGGGAAAGATTTTTAGCCCAAGACCCTCCTGCTTTGCTCCTCTTTCAACCCCCTCCTCCTCCCGCCGTTTTCAGGTACTGATTTCCAAGGATTGGTGACGATTGGTGCTGGGGGCTGGCACATGGCCTCAAGCAGCCTGATCTCATGGGTGGGTTGCTCAGGCTGGAACTTGAGCACCCAGGGATCCTTGATGATGTCCAGGATGGTGGCACGCTTGGTGGCTTGGCATAGTGTCTGGAGGACCAGGTTCTAGGGCAGGGGAGAGAGAGGTCTTGGCTGAGCTGGCCCACATTGTGCCACACAATGAGCAGCTGGACCTAAGAAAGTAGCAGGATAGCCCATCACACCACTCTGGTGAAAGGGAGTGTGGCCCTGACTTTACCCTTAAAAGCCTCCTGTCTGCTCAGAAAGCCAACATCTTGAGGGGAAGGAAAGGAAGGGTTCCTTGGGGGAAATCCTTGCAGAATCCCCTTCTGGCCTAAAGAGATAGAGACTAAAACCTGCTTATCACTCACATCCCAGGTGCAAGCCCAGAGGTTGGCCCTTTAAGCCCTCCGCACTATTCTAGGGCAGGGCAAGGGTGTGGAATGGCCCTGGTATGGGGGGAGGCTTCCCTGGGGTTGGGAGGTCTAGGTTGAGTATTCCCTCTCTGCAGGTCACCCCTGAGGCCTCAGCCCTCCTGGGGGAGCCAGCACCTTGCACTCCTGGGAGATGGCATAGTTAGGTGGAAAAGTGACCTCCTTCTGAGTCTCTCTCAGCAGTTTCTTGAGATTTGTGTCATCGAAGGGCAGACGGGCAACCACTAGCGTGTAGAGGATGACGCCCATGCTCCAGATGTCAGACAGGAAAGGGTTGTAGGGCAGGCCTAGCAAGACCTCCGGGCAGGCGTAAGCAAAGCTGCCACAGTAGGTCTGGCTGAGGTGGCTAAAGCAGTTGCCTTGGTGGTAGGAAGGGCTACTCCGCACAGACTGGCTAGAAGGCACCATCTTGGCGAAGCCAAAGTCCGATATCTTCACGTTCTTCCGCTTGTCCAGCAACAGGTTCTCCAACTTTAAGTCCCTACCAGCAGCAGAAAGGCTGGGGGTCAGGAGAGGGCTTAGTGTTAGACTGGGAGCTGAAGGGCCAGGGGTCAGAGGCTAGAGATAAGGAAAGGCAAAGAGGGAGAGAGATGCCATTATGAGGACACAGGGCAGAGAGGAAGGAAAGTCATGGAGTTGTGAGCAGAGCCCAGAGGGAAGAGAGGATGGTACCTGAGGATCACTAGGAGCTCACCATCACTTTTCATAAAGTGCTCTGCTCACAGTGGGTACTTAACAAATGTTCTTGACCGGATGATTAAAATAAAGTGGATGAATAGGCCTAGATACTGAGGAGGGAGGTCAAGGGAAGAAAAAAGAGGGTAGAACATGGAAGATGTGCATAAAACCCCTTTGGGAGCCCAAAGGCCTCAGTCTGGGTGGCAGCGCCCTCACCGGTGCACGATGCCCTTGCTGTGCAGGTAGGCGATGCCCAGGGTCATCTGGGAGAACCACTTGCCAGCAAGGGGCTCAGAGCAGGCCCCATAGTGCTGGATCCACTCAAGGACGTCACCACCCTGAACCAGCTCCAGAATAACGTACACTCGGGATGTGGTCTCGATGGCCTGATAGAAGTTGATGAGGTACTTGTGCCGCAGGACCTTCATTACCTGGCCCCAGGAGAGGGACCCATCAAACCCAGGCAGGGAGCACCCTGGCTGCGCTCCCAGCCTTCTCCTACTCTCCCACTGCTACTTTCCTACAACTTTGCAACAGAATCAAACCCCAGAGGGCTGGTGGCCTATGGACAAACCCTATGCTTTGCACTTTTTACTTTTTGAGGGTCTGGAGGTGAGGTGGAAAGAAGCTGAATTTACATCAAGTAATTTTCCTAGCTGCCTAGTGAGTCATTCAGTTGTGGTATAGGGGTTTCTGGCTCCACCCCCTCCTAACCATACCCCTTCTGAGAAGCCTTAAGCAGCTTGGTACCAGCTCCCTCTTCTAGCCCCTTTCCAACCTGTATCTCACGGGGCAAGAACTTGTTAAGATAGTCCTCAGAGGCCTTCTTCTTTGAGATGATCTTGACAGCCACCATGACTTTCTGCTTTGTGTAGTAAGCCTCATACACCGTCCCGTAGGAGCCATTGCCAATGACTTTGCCCACTTCGTAACCATATTCCTCCATGACAGAGCGGTAGGCCGAGGTGGATGGTGCTCCCAAGGTGTCTCCCTTCCCCATGGTGTTGGGCTTGCTGAGAGCAGGGAGCTTTGCTACTTAAAAGCCTCCTGTCTGCTCAGAAAGCCAACACCTTGAGCCGCTGACGGCTAGGGTACCAAAGTGAAGTTAGTCTCCCAAAGCTTGCCTATGTAGTCATACAAGTCTGGGATGCTGGGCTCAGCTCTCCACTAGGAGCTTGGAGAGGGAAGAAGGGAAAAGCAGTTCTTTTTGTCTCCACTGGCTGTTGTTACTTCTTTCTCCTCTTGGTTACGGAACTCCCCAAGGTCCCGTGTTCCGCACACATCATAATCCACCTTCTATCCACCACTGGCCACAAGGCTTGAGAAGGAAATGCAGTTTGGAACATACTCATTGCTGGAGGTACCTTTATAATTTGGTGAGACTCGCTCCATGGATCTGGTCCTTTCAACCAATCATGTTTATTGAGCACCTGCTATGTGCCAGGCAGTGTACAGAGTCCTGGGAGAAAATAACCAATAAGGCGAAGAGAGCCTCTGCTAGCGTTTATAATCCAGCATGAGAAACACCTGAGTGTCAGAATATCACAGAGAATCGCAAGGTGTTGTAGAAGTGTGTTCTAAGGAACCTAACTTTAAAATGTATTCCTTTTTGGGGGTGGTGGTGGTGGCTTAAAATAACAACCTTTTTTTGTTGTTGTTGAACAAATTGAGCTGGACTCAGTTGGGTAATTCAGCTGGTGGCATCATCTCAGCTGGGCTGGTTTGTTTCTGCGTACGATCTCATTATTCAGTAGAGTAGCCCAAGTTCCCTCACACAGTTTGCACTGAATTTCAAGAGAAAAAAAGACAAGCTGCATGATCAATTGAGGCCTAGGCTCCAGAATCACAAAACATCACTTCCATACCTTTATATGCATAAAGACAGTTACAAAGATCACTCAGATTTATGAGGTGGGGGATGGAGACTCCTCTTAACCTTGAAATGCATTCTTTTTTTTAAATATTTATTTTGGCTGCACTGGGTCTTAGTTGCGGCACGTGGGATCTTTAGTTGCGGCATGCATGTGGGCTCTAAGTTCCCGACCAGGGATTGAGCCCTGGCTCCCTGCATTGGGAGCGCGGAGTTCTACCCACCAGACCACCAGGGAAGTCCCCTTGAAATGCATTCTTATCTTGCCTTCCATGACCCTGAACTCTTACAGTTTTCCTTCCATCCCTCTACCCATTCCTCAGGTTCCACTGGAGCCTCCCCCACCATCCACCCCTTAATCACACCCCGAGGGTTCTATTATAGGCCTTATTTCCTCAGACCTTTCCATCCTCCCTAAGAATCTCATCGAGACCCCTCATTTCTTAACTCCAGCAAGCCTTCTGCTCCCCTCCCCTCAGTGTGTTCACCCTGAAGTCCAGGGAGTAAATCTGATTTTATTCCCATAACAATTCAGTGCCTCCCCATTCTCCTTAAGATCGAGTCCAGATTCTTTTATGTGGCTTCAAATTTGACCCTGCTTACCTCTCCGATTTTTTCTTGTAACATACATGCAATGCTCTGGCCAAACAATTGCTTTTCCTTCATTGTTCCCTCTGTTCTGGCAAACTCCTACTCTCCCTTCAGGACTTAGCTGATGATCTGTTTTAAGGAAGCCTTTACTGACTGTTCAGGCCCAAATTAGATGTTCCTCCCTCCTGGGTGCTCCCACAGCTCCAATACTTTCTCTAACATGGTGTCTGTTTTTCTTGCTTGCATCTCCCACTAGGCTGTAAGGGAGGTCCGCTGATGAGAAAAGGGATATGAAGTCAAAGACTTGAGAAGAAAGGCTTGTGGAGAATGGGAGAGAGCTGATTTGGAAAATGAGCATTATTGGGCAGCACTGAGGGCCCAAATGAGATTGGAAAACACAACTTATGGACACACAATCTTAACATATCATAGTGTTAAGATCATTTTAGCATTCTGGATACAGGTGCTTGAATATCAACAGACATATTGACCCAAGATTAAGGTTTCACTTAGCAGCTGCCGTGAAAGAATGGGAGCGAGGCATCAAGAACACAGGCAAGAATGTGGCTAAAATGATGGAATGCAGAATCTAAGCTGCTTGGGTTAGGAGGACAAGCTAGAAAAAGGCCAAAGGACAGGGGGAGGGGTTGCAGGTCTTAGTGAAATGGAACAAGTTTGGTGGGAAAGACAGAGGACAAGAGGTGGTGTCAGAGAGGTTATCTGGATTTAAGATGGGGGGAGGGGGTGGCACACAGAGGAAATAACAAAGGAAGAATCAGAGTTATCTTCCATCTTCCAAAACAAAACAGAAACTCCAACATTATGCCATAGGCTACTGGTAAATTCCTATTTATTAACAGGCTGATCCTGCTGGCAGGGTGGTTCCAAAGTCCTGTTGGAAGCCAGATCTATTCTACATCCTCAGTCTATCAAGATGAACAACTGTCCAGGGCACACAGTGGTAAGGAGGCCCACCCAGCCCCGCCTATCTTCTGCTTCCCTGGATAGGCAGCTTGGTGGCACCTCTGTTCTCATCACGTACAGCAGATAAACCAGTTCATTCAAGGAATGTGTATTAAGCTGCCTACTGTATACAAAAGCACTGCTAGGCTCTGAGGATAACAAGATGGATAAATTATAATCCTCCTGTGAGGAGTTAGCAATTAGCAAGGGAGACAGACACATAAGAAGTTAAAATAACAGTACGGTGAGATAAAGTTCTATAAACAAAGCCTGTAAGGAAATGTTAAGGGAAGGCTTTATAGAGAAGGTGGCGTTTGCACTGTTCAAAAGAAGTCTCCAGGCAGGTTAAGTAGGGAATGGTAGATTGAACAGTCTAGGCAGAAGGAACCATATATGAAGCTTGCAAGCTTGAGAAAATATGACACTCAAGATTTCAATTTAAATACAGGATAGGGTTCCAGAGGGGAATGTACCTGGAGAAGTAATTTAAATGCAGGTCTGAGAGGCCTAATATGCCAAGCTTTTTTTGACCCTATCCTATGTACTCATGGTTAAATTTTGCTGTGCATCAAAGTCAGAGCTTGTTAAAAAAATACTGATGCCCAGTCACCTCCTTCCCCAAGATCCGGATTTGGTGGAACCCAGGTATCTATGTTATTTTTTATAAATTTATTTATTTTTATTTTTGGCTGTGCTGGGTCTTTGTTGCTGTGTGCTGGCTTTCTGTAGTTGTGGCGAGCGGGGGCTACTCTTTCTTGCGGTGTGTGGGCTTCTCACTGCGGTGGCTTCTCTTGTTGCAGAGCATAGGCTCTAGGCACGCGGGCTCAGTAGTTGTGGCTCGCGGGCTCTAGAGCGCAGGCTCAGTAGTTGTGGCGCACGGGCTTAGTTGCTCCGTGGCATGTGGGATCTTCCTGGACCAGGGCTCGAACTCATGTCCCCTGCATTGTCAGGCAGATTCTTAACCACTGTGGCACCAGGGAAGTGCCGGTATCTATGTTTTTAATCAGTTTCCAGCTGAATCTGATGCACACCAAGATTTGAGAACCACTGTTGCAAACTAGTGAATTTAATGAAAAGAAACAGACTCACAGATATAGGGAACAAACTAGTGGTTACCAGTGAGAAGGGCGAGGGGGCAATATAGCGGTGGAGGAGTGGGAGTACAAACTATTGTGAGTAAGGTGGGCTCAAGGATGTATTGCACAACACGGGGAATATAGCCAATATTTTGTAATAACTGTAAATGGAAAGTTACCTTTAAAAATTTTTTTAAGAAAAGAACCACTGTTGCAGGAAATAGGACATCTTTAAGACTAAACAAAGAAAAAATCCTTGCAGCAGCAGTATGGAAAATGGATCCAAGGGGAGAGATGACCAAGAGACTAGCAAGGTGGCTGTCATGATAATTTAGGTGGGGGGATGGGGCCTGAACCAAGGCAGCATAGCATGGAGGGCAATTTGGAAGATAATTCGAGAGAAAAGCAGAGGAGGCTTGGTGGCACTGATCTTATGGGGGCGGCTGTTAATTGTGAAGGAGACCCAGGTTTAGAGACCAGGGGGTTATCACTTAAAAAAGCCACTCTAAATTACTTTTCTAATTACAAAATTAATTGATTGTCTAAAAAACTCATCCCCCTACTTCCTGGAACCTCACTTCCTCCTGCGGGGAGGAGGGCTGGGTCAGAGAGGGCAGAAGTGAGTAAATGAAGGGCTTTTCAAGCCAGAAACAGCTTGAGATTTTCCACTTTCTTTACGCGAGGAAAGGAAACCTTAAGTTGTTCCCAGGTGGCCAAAACGAAGTCATGGCCCCTGGGTCTGATCTCCAGAGGAATTTCCCTAATGGCAAATCCCTTGACAGGATAAACTTTTCCAGAATAATCTGCGATACAAAATTAAGAGATGCTCAAACACATATACAGAGATAAATAAAGAATAAAAACATAGAGACCGAAGCAAGCATGTCAAGGTTCTTTACCTGCAATTAACAACAAGCGTCAGGCGGCCCAGTTCACGGGGTAAAAGAGCAAATACCCGATGTCTTTGCGTGCCTCTGCACCAAACCTGGCCCAGGCTTGCCTATCGTCGGACACGGGACGGTCGCTATACGGTCAGGGAGGCCTCCAGTACAGCCTCGGTAAGATATTTTTATTTACGGCATTTGGTTTTTGGCGAGAGGCCATTCAGGACGGATGGCAGAGCAGCGGTGAGGTGAGATCCGATTCTAGGACGCTCATGTGGGCTGTGTCCTCTGCTGTCCTACGACAGCGACGCCCAAAGCCTCACCCCCGCCCGGGTTGAGGACCTTGAACCGCCTCTCGGGGCTCGGCCTCAGCAGTCGGTGGCGAGTCCCATTGGTTCAGGCGGCAAGCGCTTCGGTGTCCGCTAGGTGTGGGCGCAGCCGCCGCCCGGGCTCCGCGTCCCGGGCAGTCACTGGGCGCGAGCAGCGGGCACGGCTCTTGGACGCCCAACCCAAACCTTCCCGGGGATAGGCGGCCGGACCCGCGGCAACGCTTATCCAAAAAGGGCGTTTGTGTCCTCGTAGCCAGGTCTCAACCGCAACCCCCACTGGAGAAATCTGGGAGCTTTGGAGCGGCCTCGGCCTGGGGGTAGTGGCCCCCTCCAAGCTCCAGGAAAGGAGCTTTCTGCCGGGCTGAGGTCCCCTCGGGTGAAGGCGGAAGAGGGAAGACTGACGTGTCCTGAGCTGCCCTCAGGTCGCCGGGAGGGCCCCCCACCCCGCTCCTTGCCGGGCGACGGGCTAGCCCGAGACTCGCGGGGTCTCCAGAGCTGGGCCGGGCCTCCAGCCGTAGAAAGGTTCCCCAAGGGAGCACTGCAGTGAGCCGGGCGCGATGTTTTGCGGTGGTGCCGCAGCCGCTGCGATCAGGCACCGCGGCGGCCAGCCCCGTGGAGGTCGGTTGTCAAGTCCTCTCCAGGCCCCCCGCTAGCGCGCCGCTCTGGGGGAGACCCCGGCAGGAGCGCGAGGGCGGCTGCAGGGCAGCAGAGGCCGCTGGCGTCGCCTCGGCCAGCCCTTCCCGCGCGGAGAGCACCCCGGGGCTGCGGCGGGAAGGTGCCGGCCTTGCGGGACCGCGTGGCGTTGCCATGGAAATGGGCTGGGGCGCGCGGGGAGGTCCCGGGCAGGCGGGCTGCCGGAGGGGGGACCCCAGGTTGGGAGGACTACATAGCAGAGGCGGAGGCCAATGTTCGAGCTAGAGGGACATGGTGTGGTGTGGCGGTGGGGAGGTGGCCTCCTGAGGGAGGGTCGGAAAGGCCAAGGGGAGGAATTGGAGCCATTGGCTTCAGTTCAAAGAACCTGACCTGGGGAGTCATTCGATCCCTGGTTCCCATAACTGCAGGACTACCCCAAACAGGTTCCGCTGCCTTAAGGATGACAGTCCTAGGCCACCCTGGAAGTTGGAGATGCCGGTGGTTGCCACTCCTGCTGCTGCTGTTGCTGGGCACAGGTCGAGATCCAGGGGTGGAAGGTGTGACACACTACAAGGCCGGCGACCCCGTCATTCTGTATGTCAACAAAGTGGGACCTTACCATAACCCTCAGGAGACTTACCACTACTACCAGCTTCCAGTCTGCTGTCCTGAGAAGATACGCCACAAAAGCCTTAGCCTGGGTGAAGTGCTGGATGGGGACCGGATGGCTGAGTCTTTGTACGAGATCCGCTTTCGGGAGAATGTGGAGAAGAGAATTCTGTGCCACATGCAGCTCAGTTCCGCACAGGTCAGCCTCTCCACACTGACTAGAACTTAGCCCTCCCTCCCAGGACCTAATAACAGTGCCTTAGGTTTATGGTTTCCAAAGCACCTTTATGGAAATGATCTGATTTGATTCTAACTACAACCTCATGTGGCAGGCAGGGAGGGTAGTATTTATCATTTGCATTTGGTTGATGAAGAAACATACTTGCTCAGAAGTAACTTCTTCAAGACTACATGGATAGTGGATTGCACGGTTGACATTAGAGCCCAGGGCTCCTGACTCGAAGCTTCTCTGTAGGTAATAAGGTCCCAACTATCACACCTATGTAGTCATTTTTTGCCATCCCTACCTCTTGGCTTTTTTAACTGGCTCCTTTACATGCTGCCTAATTTTCCCTATCATGCTTTTTTCTTCAGCAATTCCTATCTTAGGGCACTTTTCCTTAGTCTACTGCAGACTTTCCTACACCTCCCTCTCCTCCTAGGCCTTCATCCTGTCGAGTCATACTTGCTCATTTCAGAGAATCCCAACATAATACTAGGGTCTACCCAGTGGTTCTCAACAGGGGGCTTTTGTCTCTCAAGAGACATCTGGCAATGTCTGGAGATTTTTTTTTTAATTTATTTATGTTTGGCTGTGTTGGGTCTTTGTTGCAGTGCACGGTCCTCTCATTGTGGTGGCTTCTCTTGTTGCGGAGCATGGGCTCTAGGCGCGCGGGCTTCAGTAGTTGTGGCACACGGGCTTAGCTGCTCCGCGGCATGTGGGATCTTCCCAGACCAGGGCTTGAACCCGTGTCCCCTGCATTGGCAGGCGGATTCTTAACCACTGCGCCACCAGGGATGTCCTCTGAAGATATTTTTGATTGTCACTACTGGGGAACGCTACTGACATCTAGTGAGAAGAAGCCAGGGACGGAGCATCTTACAATTCATAGGGCAGCCCCCTACAACAAAGCATTTTCCAGCTCAAAATGTCATTAGTGGGGCTGCCCTGGTGGCGCATGGTTGAGAATCTGCCTGCCAATGCAGGGGATATGGGTTTGAGCCCTGGTCCAGGAAGATCCCACAAGCCGCGGAGCAACTAAGCCCCTGTGCCACAACTGCTGAGCCCACGGGCCACAACTACTGAAGCCCATGCGCCTAGAGCCCATGCTCCACAAGAGAAGCCACCGCAATAAGAAGCCCACGCACCACAATGAAGAGTAGCCCCTGCTCTCCACAACTAGAGAAAGGCTGCGCACAGCAACAAAGACCCAGTGCAGCCAAAAATAAATAAAATAATTAATTAAAAAAAACCCCATATCATTAGTGCTGAAGTTGAAACCCTGCTCTAATACAATGCCTGGGGAGGCCTTGTCTGACTCCTAACTTGCTCTTTTTAGGTGGAACAGCTGCGCCAGGCCATTGAGGAACTATACTACTTTGAATTTGTGGTGGACGACTTGCCAATCCGTGGCTTTGTGGGCTACATGGAGGAGAGTGGCTTCCTGCCTCACAGCCACAAGATAGGACTCTGGACCCATTTGGACTTCCACCTAGAATTCCACGGAGATCGAATTATATTTGCCAATGTCTCAGTGCGGGACGTCAAGCCCCACAGTTTAGATGGGTTACGACCGGATGAGTTCCTAGGCCTCACCCACACCTACAGTGTGCGCTGGTCTGAGACTTCAGTCGAGCGTCGGAGTGACAGGCGCCGTGGTGACGATGGTGGTTTCTTTCCCCGAACACTGGAAATCCATTGGTTGTCCATCATTAATTCCATGGTGCTTGTGTTTTTACTGGTGGGTTTTGTGGCTGTCATTCTCATGCGTGTGCTTCGAAATGACCTGGCTCGGTACAACTTGGATGAAGAGACAACCTCTGGAGGTTCTGGTGATGACTTTGACCAAGGTGACAATGGCTGGAAAATTATCCATACAGATGTCTTCCGCTTCCCTCCATACCGTGGTCTGCTCTGTGCTGTGCTTGGTGTGGGTGCCCAGTTCCTGGCCCTTGGCACTGGTAAGGTGATAAAAATTAATTAGGGATTTCTCTCAAGGGGTAGAACTAAGTAGGTAGTTTGTTCAGAAAAAGATCTACAGATCTTCTCTTCTGTCCAAGGTGAGGGGCAGACCTAAGGGGTGGAATGGCTCTAGCAAGGATGTGTATATTCTGTTGTGGGTTTTCTGGACAACAGAACTGGGGGATATTGTTTTGATGGAAGCCCTGGGTCTGGGAGAAAGGGGGCTGGCTGATTTCTATGAAATTGCCGGAAGAGGGATAGGTGAGACCTAACACAGGCTTTCCACTACCATGCTGCAGGCATTATTGTCATGGCGCTGCTGGGCATGTTCAATGTGCACCGTCACGGGGCTATTAATTCAGCAGCCATCTTGTTGTATGCCCTGACTTGCTGCATCTCTGGCTATGTGTCCAGCCACTTCTACCGGCAGATTGGAGGCAAGCGTTGGGTGTGGAACATCATTCTCACCACCAGTCTCTTCTCTGGTGAGGACTGCCCTTTCCGTGGTGGGCCAGTTTAGGAACTTAGAACACATCATGGAACCTGAGATAGAGTCAGAGTAGGGCTTTCAAGGGACTGAAAATAGGTAAAAGAAACACTAAGGAAACCATTCAAAAGACAAAAAGAGCATTTCTTTTTTTTTTTTGCATAGTTAAATATTAAGCCCTTGAAATGTTTTAGGCAACGTGATAAGCACTTGACATGCCTTCATCTCATTTAATTCTCACACTGACTTCATGAAGTAGGTAATACTGTCCCCATTTTACAGATGAGGAAATTGAACTTCAGGCTGGTTAGGTAACTTGCCTGAGATTGTACTCCTAAAAAGCAGAGAATCAGGTTTCAGACCTAGGCCGTCAAACTCTAGAGCCTGTATTCTCAACCATTACACTGAAATAACACTCTTGAATTTATCTTTTGAGACTCCCTTTTTTTCCCCCCAAGTTTTTTTTTTTTGGCCACACTGCACGGCATGTGGGATCCCACTTCCCTGATCAGGGATCGAACCTGCGCCCCCTGCATTGGAGGCGTGGTGTCTTAACCACTGGACCACCAGGGAAGTCCATCCCCAAGCTTTTTTGTTTTGTTTTGTTTTTGCGGTACGCGGGCCTCTCACTGCTGTGGCCTCTCCCGTTGCGGAGCACAGGCTCCGGACGCGCAGGCTCAGCGGCCATGGCTCACGGGCCCAGCTGCTCCGCGGCATGTGGGATCCTCCCGGACCGGGGCACGAACCCGTGTCCCCTGCATTGGCAGGCGGACTCTCAACCACTGCGCCACCAGGGAAGCCCCCCAAGCTTTTTTAATTTTGAAAGTGGGCCTCCCCACTCTAGCCTTTCAAGCCAGCTTGTCCTTTTAAAGGCAGTAGTAGTTTGCATTCTGAACCTCTTGTGTTTCCAACTGTTAAGTATCTGATTTCTGTTCTACCACATTTACATTTGAACCAGGGCTTTCTGAAAACAGAGCCTTAATTCAAAGGAATGTCTCATACTAGGAATCACCAGTGCCACAGCAGGACAGGCCCTTGGAGGCAGGTGGATTTGTGTCACTCTTAGATCATTATGTAACGGCTTGCCTAGATCCTTAATGATAATGGGTAGGGGAGGGAGTGTTGGTAAGCTAAGGAACAAAGAACAACAAGACATGAAAGGGTGGAGTCAGTCTGGGAGCGGGATGTTTCACTCCTCACCCCTTTAGGTCCAGTCTGATTGGGTGCTCCCAGGGATGTAGCTCCTAGTGCTAACTCTCCCTCTGGGGCCCATCCCTGCAGTGCCTTTCTTCCTGACGTGGAGTGTGGTGAACTCCGTGCATTGGGCCAATGGTTCAACACAGGCTCTGCCAGCCACCACCATCCTGCTGCTTCTGACGGTTTGGCTGCTGGTGGGCTTTCCCCTCACTGTCATTGGAGGTATCTTCGGGAAGAACAACGCTAGCCCCTTTGATGCACCTTGTCGCACCAAGAACATAGCTCGGGAAATCCCACCCCAGCCCTGGTACAAGTCTTCTCTCGTCCACATGACTGTTGGAGGCTTCCTGCCTTTCAGGTATCCTCCCTTTATTCCATGGCCATCACTCTCAGGATCCTGACCTTAACTTTCCCCTTCCGTACTCACCCTGTACCGTAACCCATTGTCGGTGATAATC